ATGCGTGTGTGTGTGCGTGCATGTGTGTGTGTGTGTGTGTGTGTGTGTGTGTATCTCAGCCTGGGTCAGCTTCCCAGAAGAAAGAATAGACAGGTTTGGAAGTTGAGAATCAAAATGGTAGGTGGAAGGGACAATTATTCAATCAAGGAAGCCATTGATGAAAGTCATATCCTTGGTCTCTGTTCAGAACCTTGCTGGTGACCAAGGTAACTTTGACCTCTACTGATCTTGTACTACCCAGAAAGCCTTCAACTCCAAATCTTGCTCACTCCGGATCCTTCCCTCACTCCTTACTGCTATCATCTTAGATGCCAGGCCTCACACCGTGAATGGTGACTGCGTGAATGGTGACTGGGTCAGTGAAAAATGAACTGAGGAGGAATCCCCAGCCTCCCAACCAATGTGCTGATTTGCTGTCATCTTCATGGTGACATGAGTGAAGCCAGGCTCGAGGTGAGTGTGAAGGCAGTGCTGCCTGTTTCCAGGAACATTCTAGAAAGCTCTTCCAGTCAAGTCAAGTTTCCTGATGTAATGTTTTTTTTCAAAGCACTCAGAAAGACTCAGGCTTAAGCCAAAGAGGAAATAAATTTTATACTGACTACTGAGAAATAGGTTTAAAATGGTTGATGCTGTTCTTCTCCCTTCCCCTAAGTTAAGTCTGCTCCTGTATTTGGTCCAGGAAGTGGTCCTAAGGAAGCCAAGCTACCTGATCCTGGGAAAGTCTGCCCCTTCCATTAATTTGCTCTGTGAGGGGGTGGGTGGGGTCTCCTGTCCTCTCTGTGTCCATTCTATCAGAAGTAAATGAGATAGATGGATTTTAAGTCATTCTTCTTGGAGTTCCAGTCACACCTCAGAGAGATCCCAGGTTACGAACTGAGGAAGAGGAATGCTTAGCCCACTCTAGCCAGGTCATTTGCTTTTATCTGGTTGGGAGTCAAGAGCTTGCTAATGTGCAGGTCAATGACTCTTAAACTCTCATGGGCATACAGGAATCCTGTGAAAATGCTGATTCTGACTCAGAAAGCTACAGTGGGGTCTGAGATTTTGCATTTCTAATATATTTTGTGTAGCCAAGTCCCAGACTACTAAACTGGCATTAACTAAAAATGCATCGACTTGGTGTTGTATTTATAGGGCAAAGAGGCCAACAAGAAGACACAATCCCCCAAAACTTGAGAAATAAACTGTTGGGGATAATTTTATGGGTGGGAAGGGGGACAGATGGCTCTTGGGGTCTAGGAAGGGCAAGGGCAAGACTTTCTTTGGCAGATTGGCTCAACGGCAGGAAAAGAAAAGGCTTCCTCAGGTCTCAGGATCAGAAGCCAGTGAATTCGGTGTGGCAGCTGTCATGTGATTTTCCCTCCCCAGTGTTGATGGAAGCAGTGGTGGCATTGCTGTACTTCTGGGGAGCATGACAGAGTTGAAGACCAACCAAAATGGAACACTGGAATAGCTGATAGTGACCACGTCTATACCAGCCCCGGCGTGGAGATATTTGGTGGACCTGACTGGATATGAGTGGCAACCACAAGAGCAATGCTTGTACCATGATGAGTTCTGGAAAGATCAATGTTTAAAAGAAGCCGAGATGAATTCCAGGCTCAGTAGATCCCATGTAAAGTGCCACTCCAGCAGAGAGGCAAAGGACTTACAAATGGCTTTTCCCAAATGGGTTTGCTGCTTGGTCAGTGATGAATCTCTTTTAAAGAAGGGGGAGCAGAGAGGGGTGTTGCAGAGCAATCAGTCATAGTACTCAGTGACTAAACAGAATAAACTTCACTTCATACCCAGCTTGGCAGAGTGCTTGCTTTCATTATTAGGCCTTATCTTGTCACTATTTTAATCTGTATCAGCAATTTCAAACATGACTCAAAGGCTGAAGGTCCACAAGACACTGTCTAAAACCTTCACTCTATGTGGTACGGAGACAATGTAAGATGTGCTTTTTGCTCTGGATCATCAGTGATAAAACTTAGAAATGACAAATTGTGACCTAAGGAGAAAGGAAGACGAGAACTGGAGGGAGAGAAAATAAAGACATAGAAGGCAGCCCAGCCTCAAATAGAGAGGCTGAAAGATTAGAGGCAGCACACACGAAGTTTCCTAACAAGAAAGAGCAGAGAAGTCCCCTGCACGTCCAGACTCAGAATCTCTTCCTGCACAGGCTGATGCTACTGAGTGAGCTAATAATCAACTTTACAATGTGAACTTTCATCTCTAAAAATGTCAGTGAGAAAGTCACAAAGGTTTCATAAGAACTTAGAGACCCTTGAAAGTGATATGAGAGAAACAACTCAGATAAAAACAAGTTTAAGTTATGGGGTGTGTGGGCTGGTGTTACTCTTTAAAATTTTTAAAGGACGTTAATCTTAGGACAATATATTTATGGCCTGTTTTTAAAAATGTCTTATTGTATTTCATAAGAGAAAAAAATATATTGCATGTTAAAAGAAAAAATTTTGTAACAAAAAAGGGACAGAGATGTTTAGGGTGATACAGAAGCCCGGCACATGATAATTGCGTTTTTAAAATTAGAGCTGAGTGCAACCTGACGTCATCTAATCTACCTTGGAGGAAAGGGAGGAGGGTTCCAGTCACACCCAAACAATGGCTGAATCTCTCTTGCAATTTGACTACCAGTTCCGGCAACTCCCTGTTATTTTCAGGGCTGTCACACAGGGGCTGATTTCCAGCTTTCTTCCCTTCTATCCTTGGTCTCCATGTCAGCAAGATAGAAACTGTCATGGCGTGCTGTGGGGCAGGGAACTAGAATATTTGAAAATAACTTGAGAATGCAAAGAGCCCTTGCAGTCAAGGGAAGAAGAAAGAATGTGGAGCTCTGCGTGGTCCCTGGATGGGGACAGTCACGATCTGCGCACGGAGGCAGGGACAAAAGCCAGAGGGCTGGCAGAACAATGAACCGCCACAAGTACCATGTTATGCAACTGGGTGGTTTGAATTCACAATTGTGAAGGGACAATTGTAGGAGAAGGCCTGTGCTCCTGCTCTGTGGTGGGAGGGAATCGGGCTCCTGTGCAGTCGCTCCCCACCCCCAGATGCCCCGGGAGCAGGCCCTGTCCCTCCTGGTGATGCCAGCAGCTGCCATTAAGGAGTGAGAGGCTAGATTACTCCTGACACCCAGAAAGGGCTCATGCACTGTTGAGTGTTTTTAATATATGATCAACAGTGAGCAAATTAGGTAGCTCTGGCCTGCAGCACGTGGCCATAGTCGCTATGACCCGTATCTCTCCACGCATGCTCTCTGGGCTCCCCAGGTTTTTTGTGGGTTGCGCATGAGGACTGTAGCTCACATGTTCCATCCACAGCTGGGTCAAGGCGTGAGACATGAATGTGCAGGAAGGGCCTAGAAGGGGGTGCATCAGGAAATACTTCGTGGAAGAGGTGAGCTTTGAAGACAGTATGACAGGGTCATGGCAAAGGCAGCATGGACATCTCTGGAGATTACCTTCCTTTCAGACATCCTACATGTCACACTCAACAAATTCAGGCGGGCTCAAGAGAGGAAGGGTCAGGACTTTCTTCCCTCTGTGAAAGCCCTGAGTGGCAGCCACACCCAAAGAGCGTGTCCCACACTCTGTGTGTGCTGGTCCCTGGGCTGGGGTGCCTCCCCTGCCTCACTCATCCCTTGGAAATTCAATTCCTCCAGCCCAGCTAGACTCACTCCTCCTTTCTTGAGTACCAGTAACTTCATGGCTTAACTCCAAGTGCGTACCCACCCCACCTTCATGGGTTATTTGCAAATCTGCTTCCCTCCCTCCAGTGTGCCCTGCCGGAGGGAGGGCAGGTCTCCTCACTTCAGTGGATTTAATGTTCAGCCCAAACATTGACCTCATAATGTCTGGGCTTGGGGGTCATCCTTAGAACCCCAGGGGTTGTAAAGAAGCTTTGGGGTTAGTAAGCTAAGTTGCAGCTTCAAGGCTAAGTCCTTTCTCCTGTGCAGTTGTGCCTATATTGCTGTTTACGTGTTTATTCTGGGCAGACAGATGGAAGTGCAGCTTGGATTCTTTAGCAGTTCCACCTCTCTGGGCAATTTGCACTTCCTCTCAGCTACCATTTCCCTGGGGAGGAACTTTCCAGGCAGGAAGTGCACGGGAGAAATGGCTTGGAGACTTGCTTCATGTCCACTGATGAAGGTGGATGGAGGAGGAGGAGGAGGAGGAGG